TATCCAGTGAGTGACAGCCTCAGAAGTCATCAACTACCATGATGAGAGGAGGTAGGGAAAGCCTCATGGCTTTCTGCTTTCTGGTCAATCCCACTTCAAGGTGTGTTTAATGATGGTGAAGGGACAGGCTGGAGGGCAAATTTCAAACAGCTCTGTTCCCCAAGCTGCAGGTCCTGCAGATAGCACAATACAAGCCTCATGATGAGAGACTCCTGATGTTAAACTGAGCATCAGAAATGACAGACCAATATTTGAACCGTGTACATATGGACTGAGTCTGACATTTCCCCAATGACCTTCCTCTTCTCAGCAGTGAAGCTCTATAGTAGGAAATGATGATTGGATGGGAAATTGTCCCCAAGCAATGATGATAACTGAAGCCTTCAGGCAAATCCCCTAATTACCAGTCCAAAGACATCTGCATAGCTTTACCACCTTTGTGCTTCCCTGAGCAGAGTGTGGCCTGGCCTCTGTGACACTACACAAGGAATCATTGTCATGGTTACATGTGTGCCCTTCACAGGTTGGCAGCTCACTCTATTAAAGTTGGCTGTGATTCACAACAATAATAACATGAGCAGGAATCAATTTCTGGTAAGTCAGTGCAGACATTCTTTGTGGGAAGACCTGATCTCACATCAGTGAGTGGACATGACAAGGAGCTTTCTTGAAAGAGATCACGAAGGCATGGTTCATTGTTCCAGGGGTTTTCAAGGTAGAAGACAAATGACATTTTGAGAAGTGTTTCCATAGCAAGGACCAGAGGAACACCCTCATAGTGCATGCCATGAATGACATACAGGAGAGAACACTATGCCCACACTACATAAGAGGCCTCATGAAGATCTGTAGAACCCGCATGTGCCTATCAAGGCAGCATCTAGATCAATGGAGGACCAGCCTCTGTAGTTATATTAACCCCATGTGATATCCTTTCATGGGAGCAGATCATGGAAGGAAAGGCAGCAGGGACCTTGTTGGGACTCTATTTTGTTATCTTTATTGAGAAGCAACAATTTTCCACATGAGCTCATGGT